TTTTTTGTGCTTTTGTTTGTGGTGACTGCTACAGGGTCGGGGGAGTATTCAAGGCATAACACACATGCTCGAGAAGGCTCTGCGGTGAATTACAAACTGTAGTGCCCCTGCAGAATCCCGTGATTAGCCTAACCTGCCCCACCATGGTACTGCAGCCTGAGATCTGTACCGCCAAAGAACGTGCGCTCACAAACTTGCGTTTCTTCATCTGTTTCTGACACTTCTCACGATGGGCCAGGAAGGATGTTCTCTGCAAGCGGTACCGCTGGAGGATAGCATTGCGTGAGGCGGTCGCAACTGAGACGACCTTTCTCTTCTCAGCCCGCTTCACTTGGTTGTGACGCCGCTCAACCTCCAAGCTATTTCCTTGGCCACCGATGAAGATGCAGCGCAGCTCCTGCTGAATTTGATCGGACATAACGTTTAGGTTTCGGGTTTAGGGTAACCTCCAAGCTATTTCCTTGGCCACTGATGAAGATGCAGGGCAGCTCCTGCTGAATTTGATCGGACATAACGTAGGACAGCGCTTGGTGCAAAGACCCATCACCGGCTGCCCAAGCCTCCGCCTTCAATAGCACACCGTAGCCAAAATCCAGATGAGCATCTGGAGTCTGTAGAAAGCTTTCCGCGGCTCGTACCCAACCTTGGCGTTGACGGAGGACAAGTGTATACCCAAGCACGCCTAGAGCCAAAACCGCAAAACCCCAAACCCCAAAGCTTAAACCCCAAACGACAAAACTTGAAAAAAACGAAACCGCAAACCTGGACTCTAAACCCTACTAAACCTTAAACCCTTGTGGCAGCATGCGGAAGACATCGCTCCGTGAAGCAAAGGGGCCATCTTCATTGAAGTACTTGCACATCTCCCAGTGGCGCGTGGGGTACTGGCAATAGCGACCGAACCTTATGATAAGGTGACACTCTGTCAACAGCAAACTTTGCAGCACATCCACGATATCCAAAACCGGATCTGTAGGCAGCAGACGCACCAACCTTTGAAAGTGCAGAGATGTCTTCTCTTGCACTTCGCGCTTGCCCAAGCGGACTAACAGCGGGCATTCTGTTGTCTGCACTTTCTGCGCTGTCAAGGCGGTTGCATGCAGAGTCAACTGCAAGCAGAGGGCCGCTTTGCGCAAGCGGTGATCTGTTTCTGGTGCTCGCATGAACGCCTGAAACTTCTGCAGGCGCTTCCCATTCT